ATCTCTCTTATACATATATTCTCTTCTGCCTTTAGTATCTTTGCTGAAAAAAAAAAATAAGAAAACTTTGCAAAGCAAATTTAAAAAGAAAGCGGTTTAAAAGGAGCCATAATTTATTTCTCTAATTTATTTAATTATTTGGATTTAATATTATTTATAATAGAAGAGAGAAAGAAAGAGATAAAGAAAGAGAGATAAAAAATACGTTCCCTTTCAAACTTTTTTTAGTAGTATCCTAAATAATAATAAGAAAGTCCACCTTTTTATTTTAGATCAATATTTTAATATTGCAACATTTCTCTTCAATATTTACTTTCATTTTTATATGACTCTATCAATTATTAAAGCATAATTCTACAAATAAAATATGTTAATTTTTTAAACTATTTCATCAATATTTTGCTCTACTTTAATCAGCTAAATCGCTCAAAGACCTGAATAATAACTTTTCTAATGTATCTTCGATAAATTCGCACGAATGACTAAACGTATTCAAGTCATACTAGTTATAATAAATTTTGTATTAGTTAATTTACTTTACTGACATAAAGATTAACGTTTTCGTTGATTTCTTCGTCATTTCTACATGAAATTAAAAATATAATTTTATATAACGAGTGAGAGTGAGACAGCAATAAATTAATAATTAGAATAAAAGACCATGTCAATTTTAACAACTTGGGATGTACAATACATATCAATAAGTAAAATTTGAAACGAAAATAACTAATTCGTCGGTTAAGAAACACAGAATTAACAAGCAATTTAATATTATTGCTGCAAATAAGCATCTTAGAAAGTTGTTAATGCAATTAGCAATTAATGTTAGCATCAACTCATTAACTTTCCAAGATGCTTATTTGCAGCAATAATATTAAATTGCTCGTCTCAGTTTAATTTGCAACGTTACTACTTCAATTTCGACTCAGGATTGTATTTCAAAACCGACAATCGACACGTAATTATCTTAAACTGGAAATTGTATAAATTTAGAAAAAAATTATTATCAGGCACATAAAACCGCCTTGATTGAATATGGCGTTTTTCATTCAAAAAAAAGTGTGTTAAATTTTTATATACTTTAACAAACTGTGATTCTTTCTGATTTGTGGCTCAAAGCTACTTGTTAATTTTTGTTACTGCTATTTCCTCGATTGGTTTATCTATGAAAGACTGTTTTATGAAAGTCATAGATTAGGACAGCACGTAGTGTTTCTGCATGCAGCTACAAAGTTACAGGAGTTGCGCTCGAATCCTTGAATCGTGTTTACTAGGCGTTGGATCCGCCGTAGTGGCTGAACGTAACGCTCGAATATACATCATTAGATAACAGAGCCAACGCGAAGGGAACGTGAAAGGTCTCTGGTTCACGGCGTGGCGACCGGTATCTTGCCGTATCGTTTCGTCGCGGCGAGTCGGTTCTGGTTGCCAAGCAGCGACGGCGGCTGCTACCCAAGTGAAGCGAAAGAGAGAGAGAGGACCGTATTCCTTGTATCCTTGTTACCCAACCATCTCGATCGTATACGACGATTACAGTAGCGGAGAATACGCGTTATGAAGGGCGCACGCATCTCATTGCTTGCGGCACCTTTTTATGATTCTTTCAACAATCAATTCGAACCAATTGGTTCTTTAGCGTTCTTTTATAGATCGAGAAGCGCAGAGGAGTGCAATACTTCATAAGTTTTTTTCATTTAAAATATTTAATTAAAATTCATTTAATTAAATATATATTTAATAATTAAATAATGTACACAAAAAAAATGGTTTCGTTGAAATATCTAAAAATTTAGCTATTATTAAGACATAAATTCAAAAATAATTTTGTTTGGACCATCAAAAAAATATATAACGTTCAAAAATTGATTAGAATATTTTTTATAACATTATTGTTAACACTCTTAAGCATTTTACATAATTATTATATTTTGATGATTCAAATTCACAGATTTGTATCCAATTAATTTTTAAATGCTTTAGCAAAACCGTTTCTTTAATACAAATTTGAAATTAAATGAAAATGTACACTGTATTTTTCCATCATTAACGTGATAATGTCGAATAAGAAGCATTTTGTAGTTTATACGTTATCGAACGAAGTAACTGAGCAATTAAGCGAACATCGCATAAATATTCAGGAAAATGCCATGAAGAGTGCACGACATATCCATGTGTATAATTTTCCAAGATATAGAGAGCGGAGTCCGCAAATGACTCAATATGAAAAATTATGATTGTGACATTGATCTTATTTATGGTACTCTGGACATATACATCAAGGGAGAGGCACCACATCATGAATCACAATGATAGTGAATCAAATTTATCTGCAATCAAATGCATTAAGTTCTCTCAAAGTTTTTTATCTGATTTAGTGGCCAGAATCGACAGCCAGAAGTTCAACATTTTGATAACGTCTAAAAAAGATTATAGCCTTGGCCAAAAATATTAGACACACCTTATTAACCATTATTTAAACTTTAAAGTTTTAATTTAAAAATTGATTTATGTCAATCGATTTATGTACTTTCTGTAAATCATTATTTGTTTCAAGAACTTTTTAAATTTGTGTATAACAATGCAGGTAAAATAATTTCAGATAGATGAAAAAAATATAGATTCCTAATATTTCTAGTCAAGGCTTTCTTGATAGTTTGAGATTCCGATAACACATTTAGAATAATTCTAGTATATACGCCACATCTATCAAAAATTTAATTTATTAAGTATTATTTAGTTACTATATTATAGTATATTTATAGTAAACTATATTTATAATAAACGAACTATTAAAAATTTTGTACTGTCTACTATTATGAAAAAAATATTAGAAATTCAAAATATTTATTTTTCATAAAAAAATAAACTTTTTGAAATCCTTGCATTTTTGTCACGAGAATAGGATATGTCTATTCATAGGGAAAGACAAATCGATTCAACTCACAATAATTTCATTTTAATATTAACAATAAGAAGCTGAAATCATAACACAATACTAATATAACATAAAGACATATAACAGAGTAGTTACAGAAAAATTATCCTCACTCCTTCTATTTTTTCTGACTTCTGCAGCGTAAATTCCAATACAGCGTATTTGCCGGAGTTACCCTATATATTACGTCTACATTCACAGCACATTGTTTCATCAGACTTTCATAGACTGTAGAGATTAAATCTCCTGCCGCCGTTCGATATTTCATCTCGGCTGTTCCATAAAGTTGGAGAGTTTTCGATAGTTCGACCTGTTTACAGTTCGTAGGTCGCAGGTCGCGGCTGACTGACTCACAATGCGCGATCCCTGTCGTTGTAGATATCCGGATGGCCTTTTTTTTCCTCGTAAACGAGTTCTCTGTCTAACCGGAAAACGCAACATGCGCTGTCGCATTGATCCATACTTTGCGATGGAAAACTAGAGAACGGTCGATCGACTGGCCAGCCGGAGATAAATCACTGCCAGGCACCAACTGTCTCGTATGTATGCGTGTATTGTGAAATAATATTTAAAGTATGCAAGCTGCATACGTGCGTCGGTGTTCGCGCAAACAGCGACTTTAAATCAGCGCATCGATTAGAATACAGTTCATATGATAAAAGCGATCAGACTTTTGCACGGCCACATCGTGGGCTCAACTCGCACGTTTTGATCCGTCTCAGTTTTGAAGATTTTATCGTGAGATAAGAAAAGTCGCAGCTATTTATGATTTGATTTCATTGGTATTTCGAAATGGCTAATTTTTATTTTTAATTAACTATTGTAATTAAAAATAAATGTTCGAATGTAAATAAGTAAAGAAATAAAAATATTGTTTTTTGTACTTTTTTAAATTTCTGTTATACATATTGAAATATATATATATACGGAAAATAAAAAATATAAAAAGAAAAAAAAATATAAAAAAAGAAATTCTAGATTTTTTAGGACAATTTAGGATATAATAAAAATTTTTGTTTTATATATATATATATCATAGATAAATTTTTATCGTATCTTAAGTGATCAAGATTAGAATTTGTTCTTCTACTTTCCCTATATTTTTTTAAATGTTCTATGTATACATTTTAAATATACGGAAGAATGTTGATCTGGAACAAACCCTTGATAACATCACAGATTCATGGCACTTAAGATGTAGTGGCAGTGCAAGGATACGATCATCTCAGTCGAATACTCAGTACTATACTTGAGTTGTTATAAATAAAATCAAAAAGACTCCTCGTGGAAGGCATGGTAAAGAAGGAAAACGTGGGCGGTATCAATCGCAGGGATCGGCCGCCACGGAGAGAACGAGCCGAGCAAAACTCTCGATCGCGTGAACTTTATTATTTCGAGAAGCGATATTTCTTCATCCGCTTCGTAGACGCACTATCACAATGATGTTATGAAATTTTGACACTGCAATTCTTTCTGCAATATATTTTCCGATTTACTCAATCGATTTCACTTAATTTCATGTAATTTGCTAATCGTAAAGAAATACAGACATATAACAGTCTGGCTACGAGCGAATTTGTCAAAATCTTATAAGAGAGGAAAGTAAATCTAATTTCTTCCATTATATATATATTTTGTGTATATATATATATATGTAT